GTTAAATTTTTATTTTATTTTAAAGTTTAGAACCATCCTTACCTTATCTGTAATTTATATAATCATATATTCAGTTTATGAAGTTTTGTGTAATACAAGAAAATTAGGTGATGATCTTCATGTATCAATCTTTTTGCATTGGACCATAATAATTTATTATTTTTATTATTAATCTAATTTATATTTAAATTGGTCTTTTATAGAATAGAAATTATCAATCTTATTATTATTTTAGTTAAGTGGTTATTAAATAATATAATTTAACATATAATGAGAATTATTTTATGAACTTATAAATTTTACTTTTAAGTAACAATTTAAGTAATTTTGTAAAATATTTTATTTAATGATTTTTTTTTATTATTATAATTAGTTATTTTTAATTTTAATTTTAAAATTAGTTTTAAATAATTAAATATATTTAATAAATATCTATTTTTTTTTGAAGTTCTTTATAAAATTTCAGATTTTTTTTATTAAATATATATAAAATATTAATATTTTAAAAATAAAAGAATAGATAACTTATTTGTTTTATATAATTTAAAAAAGTAAAATTTATATTATTTTTATATTTAATTAATTAGTTTAAATTTTGTTCAAATAAGTAGATATTAACTATTTTCTTAAAAATATAAAAATAGTAATAGTTTTATTATTAATGTTATGCAGATTAATAAGATTAATAAGAAATATATTGTCTAAGTATAGGATTTGATAACTTGATTTTAATAACTTGAGAAATTTTTAATTTTAAAAATTATTTATTACAATTAACGCTCTTTATAATGAACTGATGGTTCTATTAAAAAAAAGTTCGATATATAAATTACTATGCTTTTTATATGAACTATTACACTTTTTATAATGAACTATTATTAAAATTTAAAAATTGTGAGTTTGTTATATCTAGTGTTTATTATAAAGAGGTTTATTATAACTAGCTTTGACTGTATATTCTAATTTTATTAAATTAAATTAGATGATATAATCAATAAAAATTGCTAAGTATATAATTTGAATTCTTATTTATATTATTTATAAAGTTTGCAAAAATTGTATTTTTTTTATAATTAATAAAAATTCATAATTAAATAAAATCTAAATTTTTTTTTAAAAATTTAAGAATATTTTAATAAATTTGATAATATACCATATCTGTCTGAAAATAAGCACCTTTTTTGCTATAAAGGTGTTTATTTTCAGGTAGTTTAAAATAAAAAGTCTGAAATATTTTCTGAAATTCACATTGATTAAATTTTACTTTTCAAAAAAAATGTCGCAAATTGTTAAACATATATGAAACTTATACTTTGTTAAATAAAAAAAAAGAAGTGATCAATTATGCAAAGCAATATAATCAGAATGAAGCTAGTAGACACTTTAATTTTAATATGACTATGGTAGAATGTTAGGTAAATACTAGCATTTATTAGACAAATGAAGTGAATGAAACAAGTACCGTATTCTTCTGAAAATAAGTAACACTTTTTTGTTATAGTGTTGCTTATTTTCAGGTAGTTTAATAAAATAAAAGAAATTTGATCACGTAACTATCAAATCGTATGATTTTTGATGATCGAATTTTATTCATTAACCTGTTTTATTCTGTATAATGGCAAAACGGAAGAGATTTTTTTTTTTTTTTTTACTATTAATGTGCGGCAGCTAGAGAGTTAGTAGAGGGCATATCCTAAGTAGGACAAGTGTTATCCCGCATTAAGTAATCTCTTTAAGTCTTCGATTCCATTTAAGGGGTACGGCAACCTTCCTAGAAGCACATCCCCGTATAGTTGCCACCTAGTATAGACTATCTTGCAACGAGTTATCCCCATATCACAAAATTCACTAGACCTTATTGGATATCATCACCTTTGGATAGAGGGCAAAATGGAAGAGAGTTGTTAAAACTATTAGACGTAAGGTCAAAATTGTGAAACGAACACAAAATTCATACTCAGTTAAATATAAAAAAGAATGAACACTAATATTTTGTAATTTCATAATATTTTTTTTCTAATTGTAATAATAAAATGCATTTATAATATATTCATAAAACTAAATTATTTATTTACAAAAAAAAATTTTATTAAAAAAAAAAAAATTTCAACTTTTTCCGAAGTGTTGCTTATTTTCGGAATCTATATAAAACAGGTGTTGCTTATTTTCGGGGTTGCTTATTTTCGGAAGAATACGGTAGTTAAAATATCATCTTTATTAGTTGAATTAAAATTGACTGCGGAGTAATCACATGACTTCAGGAAAAAACATATTGACGCATTCTATCAAAATAAAAATTCACTAGTAATTATCGCCATCCATCTTTTTTCCATTTCTGTCAAATTCACCATCTTTCCTACATTTTTTTTTTGTTTTCAAATGGTTGATTATTCGATGGAAGAGGTATTGATTCAATCTAAAATAAAAAATAATAGTTGCAACCACGCCAAAAGCTTGCAGTTCCAATGCTTTAATTCCAATGCTTTTCTACAAGAGCGAAATTTAACACATCAATAATGTAGACAAATTTAACAAAGAATATAATTCATTAACATCGCAATAAATATGGTTACATTTACTCGTCAGAAGAAACTCCCACAACATCCATACCTTTCAGCAAAGAGGTATAAATCCAACTTTGTACCTCATAATGAACAAGTAACATCATCGTCATACCAAAGCAATCTGTAAGTATGAAGCATGTTTACATCAGGATCTCAACCAACAGAAGATTTGTATATTTTGAATTGGATGTTCGTTATACTATACATAGTATGTAGACAGTAACTAAGTTGAACTGGATTAAAAAAAAAAAAAAAAAAAAATCCGATAAAAAATCAAACTTTTTGCAAAAATATTATTTTACATTTTTTTTCGATAATAAAAAGCATTAATAAAAAAAAATTTTTTTTTTTGAATTATGCATTCGCGTAAATGAAAATTTTAAAGTTGCGTTAGTTTAAGAAAATGTTACTCTCGGATTTTTAATTTAATTTGATTGATCATCTAATTAATTACAATGGCATGTAATGTAACAATCTATATTTAATCATATCACTAGTATACATGATTTGAGAAGGTACGCAATTATGAGATAAGAGATTTTTAAAATGATATTTCGACATTGAAAAGGATATTTATTTATTTTGAGATTACAGACAATTCCATGTAACGTAAACCATCTTCACAAGTTTGTCTTTAAATAAAATCTTCCTGCATGTATGGTAGGTAAAGAAGAAAATTCCCTTTTAGCATAAGGATAACTTTCTTGAAAGATTTGAATAAGATAAATGTCGTTCGATTCGGTTTTCTTCTCGTTTGAGAAATTCGATCCGATGAAAATAGGCTATTATATAATAAAGGATGATGAATTAATCATTCATATCAAATCAACATGTACTAAATTTATTTACTTACAATACGTTTATAAAAAATCATTTGACCTCGGGATGAAGCAAAGATTTGAATTAGGACGTAATCTATGCAAATAAAAGTTCATCAAATTATTTTACATCGATTTTTTTTTATTTTCAGTATATATATTTTATTTCCTACTTTTAATAATAATTTGCGAATAATTGCAATAAGGATTTTGAATTGAAGGGATTATTATTGGCTCAATAAAATGACTTTGAGGTTCATACAACTGCATTTGGCATTTTCGACCGGAACATGTTTCAGCTGCGAAACATAAAAGAATTACCATCATTAAACTAAAAATTTTGTTTATATTCTGTTTCATATTTTCTTTTAAATTTTCAAATTGCATACTTTGCAGTAAAGAATAAAGCTGATTAACAATGTATTTATATACATTTATGATTAAAATAAGTGATCTCAATCAATTGACAAAGCCTCGATTTGAAATTTGGCCTATTAAGATTTAGAAATGGCTGAAAGTACTAAATAATATTTATTTCGAGGCTATGTTACATGTTTATGTGGATGGTCATGGCGGTTAATTAAAAAAAAAGGGAAAGGAAATACGACATAAGAAAAAATACAATAATAATAAACGAAACAATATAAATGTCCACTGAAAACAAAAGGTTCTAATTACGTAATTTACTATATAAAAAAATTTGATAACATGGCACGTGAAACTTACATTTATCTTTCTTATTTATGGCTTATATATTTGGCTTTTGTGATCGTGGTTATGGCTTTAGTCTCTTTGAAATGATCGAAATTCTCTAATGTTCATACTTTAAACGTGGCTGAAATCAATTGTGCCATATGGCTTATAAATAATAATCGGAAAATCCATATATAGCATATTATTTTTTGATTGGAAATTAAATTATCATTAATTTAATGCTACTAATTTTGTTTTTTTACTTTAATCTGAAAATCTGAAAGATTCTTTACATTCCTTCTATGATTTTATTAATTAATATTATATTTTCATTTAGGTTTTATTCTTAAAATATATATATTATTTTAAAAATCCATCTATTTATACTTTTTTTTTGCTTAATATTATAATTGTAAATTATAAATTAATATTACTTATCTAAATTATTTTGGAAGGATTTTTTTTTTTAAATATTATTAAAATATAAAACATTTTTTTTTAATTTTTTAACTAATTTTATTATAAAATAAGCAAAAACTTACTTTTATGCAAATGTCTATTTTGTTTAAAAAATTAACCAAATGGTAATTTGTAATAAAAGTGTTTATTATAAATATCAAAAAAGAAATCAGATGTCAAAAAAAAAAGAATTAAGCAATAGTGAAAAGAAGAAAAAGTTGAAGAAAAAGATATAAGTTTAAATTTAAAAAATAATGAAATAAGTATTATAAATTATAATTTAATTAATATTTTATTTATTATATAATAATAATTAATAAAATTTAAAGGAATATTTAGATAACATAAATAAAATTAATATTCAAATGGATGAAAAAAATATAAATGAAATAGAATATTTATCTATAAATGAGAAAATCTTAAAAGAAGATAATATTGTAGATAATAAAAATTATAATATTAATAAAACTAATGATGAAGATGATAATAAAGATAAAGATAAAGATATAGATAATATAATGCAAGTTAATATTAAAAAAGATTAAATAAAAAAAATTATAGAAAGCTTTAAACTTTTGCATTTAAAATCATTATATAATTTTACAAAAGCAGCATATAGTGATATTATCAAATTATTTATTAATAAAAATATTAGTTTATATAAAATTAAAATATATTAGAAGAAATTATAGAACTTATTTCAAAATTTTATGATATATGTGAAAATTCCTATATATATTATATTAGAATTTATGAAATTTACTAAAGTTATTTATTATGTAATTCATTGAGATATAATTTAAAAAATAATCAAAAAAATAATGCTATATCTTTTTATTAAAAAAATTAGAAATTCAATATAATAATAAAATAAAAGCTAAAGAATTACTTTATTAATATTATTATATTACTAATAAAAAGATTGAATTTAAAGATTTAAAAGATATTTTTGATGAAAAAATATATAATGAATTATTAGAAAAAAATTTATTTGGTAATAAATAAGATGTTGAATTTATAGTATTTTATGATAAATATCAAATATTTAATAAAAAACTGATGATTTTTATTAATAAATAATAATTTACATTCTTTATTACAATAAAAAAAAATTCATTAATTCTTTTCTTAATTTTTAGACTAAATCAACTAAAGAATTTTAATATATTTTATGACTATTTATTAATGAAATAAAAGAATTAAAAAGTAAGTAATTTACTATATTTAGTTAAGATTAAAAATTTTTTATTTTTTATTATAATAATATATAAAAAAAACTCTTTCTGTCGATCATTAAAACTAAAAAATAACAGGAAAAAAACCACTCAAAATAACAATAATAAGTCAAATCAAATTTACTTTTCTTTATCTGAAAATGATCAATAATAACATTTTGCAAAGAAACAATATATTATATTAATAAAATAAACAGAAACCTTATTCACTAGTAAAAGTTTTTCTAATCACTTTATTGAAGATATGAAGGTTGAAACTTTTTTAATCTTTAACCTTGATATAAGAAAAGATCTAGAAACTACTAATAATAATAAAAAAGCTTCTCTAGATAAAGACTAAATTTTTGATGTTTCTAAAAATAGTTTAATAATAAATAAAATAACAAAAGTAGAATTCACTTAAAGTGAGAAATAGAAACCTCAATTTTCTTCACTTACTATGTCGCAGAAAAATTCTATCCTGAAAAATCTAATAAAGATAAACAAATAAGACATATAAAAGTTTTATACTATATTACTCATTTTTTATTAATACATTAATCTGTATACACTCTAAAAATTTAACAAAAAAAATCATTCAAATTAGTTTTACCTTACATATTAAGGCTAATAATGCAATTATATTTAAAATTTCTTATTTAGATAATAATATATTTTAACTCCTCACGATTAAACCAATAGCTAAATATATTTTTGAGCTATTGATCTGTCTTACTGAGATATCAATTTCAACTACTAAATCAAACATTAAATTGAACTTTTTCTTTTTTAAAAAAATTTCTCGTTATATTATGTTAATAAAGAATCTTTGACAACAAGCTATTATTACATATGAGCAAGCACTGATATAACTATTTTGAATAAATTCAACAGTTATTTTGTTTTTAAAGATTTAGTTAGAGTTGATCCTTATACTATGGTAGTTAAAGATGTTAGAAAAAAATCAGTATTCTTTTTAAAACTAATTAACCTTCTTCTTAATATTAATAAACTTCATCTGATTTCTATCAATAATGCAATTGAAGTGATTACTTGAGTCATTTTCAAGTCACATATCAACTACAGAAACTTTTAATACACTATTTTTTATTTCAAAAACAAAGACTTTATAGAAATTACTAAAAATAGTGAAATTTACTTTCTCGATAAAAAATAATTGATCCAGACTGATCTCAATACTAAACTATATTTTATTTATTAATTTAGACTATCAATCACAAAATTATCACAAAAACTATAAGACTGCCAAACTTAACACTTATATCAATGCTATCAATTAACTTAATTTTATAATTATAAAGCTCTTATCATTATATCTAAACTAAGATTGCTTGTCTAAACTCATTTTAAATTTGGCAAAATATTTAAACTATAGTTTTGCTAATTTTTTACTAAAGTTTTAATATAGTTTCACATTTTATAAGCTTTGATATAGTTTATTTTTTCTAGAATTTTACAGATTTTTAATAAGATTTTAATATAATTTCACTAAATTTTACCTTTTTCCATTTAGACGACTTGTAAAACCTCTAAGTTTTGTCTAGCAATCTTAATTTAAACCCTTTTCTCCTCTTAAGAAACAGCAAAAACCAGATAACTAAAAACTTAATCTACAAAATAAAAATGATAAAAATAAATCCAATCATGATAATATCATCAAATCTGCAAATCAGATTTCAAAATATCTCTTGTTCATCAATATGAGATTCCTATTTACCTTATAAATAATAAAGATAAAGAAATGTTAAATACTAATATTTATGCATTCCATTATTAGGCTGATGAAGCAGATGAAGAATACTGTAAAGTGAATGATGATTCTAAATATATATGTTACTAGTTTTAATACTAATTATAATATTGTAACTAAAAAATCTACTAAATTAAACATCTTAAGAGATAAAATATTCTTATAATCAATTTTAAAAATAATATGTTAAAACTCAACAATGCTAAACGTACTCTTTAGAAATAAATCTATAAAGATATCTATAATGTTATCAAAGCTACA